ACCAACTGAAAACCACCTTGTTTTTTTAAATAGCTAAAATCTCTCCCTTAAAGGACAGAAATACCATGCTTACTGGGAAATATCAGTTTGTCTTTTCTTATGTTGATTTCTCTGTGCATGACAAATTAGGATGTATCATTCTGGATGGACACAATCACTGTGAAAGTCACAATTATCCATTAGATGTGTTTCACTTCAGTGCAGAATGGTGGCAACAGGTCACAAATGCTATGCGAGGCCAGGCAGTTGACTGAACAAATGACATTTATGTATACTAGAGTAAATGTGTTAGTTCGAATTAAGTTACAACAAAAAGGAGTAAAATCGCTATCAAACCAAAAAATGTTTTGTATGACATTTCCTAATTCAATTTCCTTAGGTTGAAGAACATCTTTGCACCATATTTAAAATAATTATGACAGTTCATCACGTGTTAAAATTAGCCACCTCAAAATTAAGAGCTTTCAAATTCTCATTCCCCAAATCCAAACCCTTCCATGGCCTCTTCCCAAATCCATATCTGTGTTATTTCAAATTGTACAAGCTTTAGAGTCCACCACTCTAGTCCTCCATGATTATCTTCTGACACCACCACCACCCTCTCCATACTTACTCCACCATCCTGTGGTTGTAAAGGTTTGAGGATAAAGGGGTGGTAGGAGTGCTTCTTGCCTTCAGTTAGCTGGGGACTAAATTTTGGAATCCCCGCCCTAAAGTTTTCCACCTCTCTCTTCTTCAAGCCACTTTTTAAAACCTACATCTTTCAGCGTGTTTTTGGTCCACAAGCTATTATCATGTTCATATTCATAGAATCCCAACAGTGTGGAAACAGGCCCTTCAGCCCAACAAGTCCACACCAACCCTCAGAGCATCCCACCCAGACCCATCCCCCTATAACCCACCTAATCTACACATCCCAGAACACTACAGGCAATTTAGCATGGCCAATCCACCTAGCCTACACATCTTTGGACTGTGGAAGGAAACCCACGCAGACAACATGCAAACTCCACACAGAAAGTCACCCAAGGGTGGAATCGAACCTGGGTCCCTGGTGCTGTGGGGCAGCAGTGCTAACCACTGAGCCACCGTGCCACCCAGTGTTGTGGCTTAGTGTCAGATTTATGCCTGATAATGTTGCTGTGCAGTGCTTTGAATGTTTTACTATCTTAACAGCACTATGTAAATGGAAATTAATATGAATAAGATTTTTGGGTTGTTAATAATACATATGTGGAAGGAATTGAGTAATTTATTGTGTATTCATTAGCTTTCAGCCAGCACAGCAGAATGAAATATTCCCTTGTGACAGAAGTGCCAGGTAGGCAGCCCATTCTGAATAATTGATGGAGTTGTGCTGAAGACCACACACAGAGCGTTTTGTTTCTCCTTCAGTTAAAAATAAAATGCTGTTGAAGGTGACGACAGTAAAATTAAGAAAAGCTCAAACCATGTCTGATAAAACAGGCTCACGATAAAAGTAATTATTCTGCAAACTATTTACGATATTCGGAAGTTTCAAAGTAAATCCTATGTGGTGTCTTGTACTGCTAACAATTTGAATTTTTTTTTGAAGCCAGGGTTGAGTAGTTAATGATTTTTGCTAAATAACTATGACATATCAGTGTAATCTTATCTCATATGACAAATGGAAAAAATATGCCAATCAAACGAGCTAGTGAGAGTAACATTTTTTTTAGGAAATGGTTAAACATAAAGTTATTGATAACTCTGAATGAAGATAAAATATAAAACACCGCAAATAATAGAAATGCAAGCGGCTGAATCTTTGTTCTAGGTGCAGGACCCAGTGTCGGATGAATTTCTGGTTACAGACACTGGCCTTTGATATTTGGCATGCTTTTATTTGATGGGCTACCAAATAATTGTCAAGGTGTGCACTTGAGTGAAAATGAGCTTTCAAGGCTGGAGCACCAATGGGAAGACCTCCAGTACACAAATTGGCCGTCTCGACATCACAGGTGGGCACTGTCAAGGTAAAATGGGTACACGAATTAAGAGCATGATGAGCCATTCGGCCCCTCTGACCTGCTCCATCATTTGATAAGTTCATAACTGATCCGATTGTGCCCTCTACTTTCCTCACAATTCTGCATACCCTTTAGCTCCCCTGTCAATCAAAATTCAATATAACTCTGCCTGAAAAATATTCAGCAACACACTTCCATTGCTGTCTGTAGAAGAAAATTCCAAAATCACTGACCACCTGAGAAAAGGAAAATATTTTCCACCTCTCCATCTTGAATGGGAGGTCTTTTATATTTAAATTGCATACCTTACTTATAATCTCCCCCATGAGGAAGGATATTCTTTCAGCATCTATGCTGTCTAGATGCCTCTGGATCTGATAAACCTCAATAAGATTACCCCTCTTTATTCTAAATTCCAGTGGATACAGGCCTAACTTTGTCCATCTATTCCTCATAAGATAAATTCTTCACATCCAAGAAATCACCTGAGTAAACCTTCTCTCATGGAAATGAAAGGAGACAGATAGAGAGGACATGCCTCAAGGTGATTTTAAATATTTATAACATTTAAAATGCAAGAGCTGCTAAATTATCACAATTAAGAGACATCCCCATCACTGGCTGGACAGTGGTCCCAGCTGTACTTGCTTGGTTATGGTGGGTTCTGGGAGGTTTAGGATGGTTAGTGAGCACCGGCTCCCATACCATTCTAGTCTAGCTATTTTCATCTTTTGGCTGTGGTGTGGACTCAATGTGGGGGCCTAATCAGTTTCTTTCTCATTGTCCTTAACAGGTTCTTTTATTAGCCTAATGTGCTATCCCTTGCTTTATCACTCATCTGATCTTCTCAGAACAGAAATGTCTCAGAGCTTGGCCCATGCCATGATAACACTTGTGGCAGGAAATTATGAATTCAATTGTCCCCAGTCCCATATGCTCAGCTTCTGAAAATCCTGCATGAAGTCCTCCATAAGCAGCTTGAGAAGGTCCTTTAAGAGTAGACTGAAGAACATGTCTCTACACACATTCATGTGTAGTTTCCTTCAATAATTTAATGTGAATGCAATACATATTTTGTAGCCATTATTTTTGCTTTCAAAATCTGAGATCATTTAAGTAGCTGTTCATAGTTATAGTGCTGAATTATCTGATGAAACTCATTTTCTAATAAGCCCGTCATCTGTATATTAAATGCTGATTACGAAAGCTCAGTTGTATTTTGTTTCATCTTCGAATTAATGTTTAAATCTATGCTTCACTACTTTTGATGTTCTGCAAATACTTTCACTGAAATTTTAGTTTTCTTTGAAATTACATGCCACCAAAACATTTATCAAGAATATTCCAGATTAAACATTTTCAACATATGTTTCCACTTACACTTCTATATACCTTAAAATAAAATTCATAATAAGCGTAATTCAGTAAACATGTAGAAAACCCTGCACTTCAACAAATAATCAGAAATATTGCCATTTAACTTCCTAACTGCTCTAAAAACAATTCATCAACACCACAGAGAATACTACTTAAATAGGATGTGCTTTATTATGGCTTTGTTGCAAATTAATTATTCATAATATTCACATCACAAATTCCAACATTTTCAGTCATAATGTTTCACAGTTGATGCAGGTCACCAGCAATATTGCACTCTCAAAAGCATTGGACAGAATGTTTACAGACACATGTTTAAATCCTGATGAGGAAGTCATGAATGCAAATAGCTTCAACATCTTTAAATGCAAGTAAGCACACTTCAGACAGGAAACATCAAATTTTGCAGTATGGGAAGAGGGTACTGATTTATCAGATTGTTGTCGACCAGTGGATGCAGCAGAAACTGTTAACTCTTTTAGTTAACCTGATTAAATTCAAACCAAGCATGCTGACTCTGATTGGTGAGGGCATTGCCATTGGATGCAGTAAGGATCCACAGCCCTCTCTTATCAAGAAGTTTATTTTCTTGTCTTTCGGTACTGAAGAGTGTCAGGCAAAAAAAAAAACATGTCTCTTGGCTTCATGTCTCTTTTTAATAATGTTTCAATTCTATACCACCAAGCAATTGTTTAAAAATGAGTGAGTGTTAGAGGAGTGAGCATAGATACAAAGATTTAAAATACAGGTAGTGGAGACACGCATTTTTGAGAATAATTGATAAATGATGATGACTTGTCTGTCGCAAAGTTGAATTTCTATTATTTCTCTTGTCACCCACCTTTGCCTCTACTTCCCTGTGGTCTTCTATCTGGTCTATTATGTCCCTGTCATTATTGGAGAAATTACAGAATCCCCTGAACTTACTCGCATTTGTGCTCTCCAACAGAGGTGGAAATCATACTGTGCCAGAATGATAGATTGTGCTGCTAGCTATAACTCTTTGGGGAACTACATTGACTGTATCATCCCTGTCAGTAGCTCCAGAAAACAAGCTCACCAGGGATATCAGAACTGAGATGCCAATCAATATAAAGAGACATATACAAGCATTACTTATTTTTTCCAAATCACCTTCATTTAAACAGAATACTGTAGGTTTAATTTTCTCCGAATGAAAATTCATATTTTAGCTCCTGCATTTTAAGATGTCATATTTCACATAAGATCATCTTTACAATTATATAGTTTTTAGGGAGTTTAGAGATAAGCCGGTTGAGTCCTAATACACGATAGAGTGCAGTATTTCATTTAAATATTACTATCGACAAACACTTGTATTCCTGGAGAATTGAACTCAAATCCTTCAATAAGTCTACTATCCTCAGTTCCAAATACAATACAGATGGAATTATTTCATACTATCCAGTCCTCACATCAGAAAATGTTAACTGAATGAACAGCATTTTCTCCAGACAATCTTTGCATGAATTGGGCAGTTTTACTGCTCCTGTTGCTCAGAGAAGGGTGTACTTAACTTTTACTAAGTGAAAGCAATAATTCCTATGTGTACCCATATTGCTGTACATGGACCTTACTTGTCTATGTGGAATATTTACAGAAAAGTCTTACCAAAAGTGAAGCGGATAGTTCCATCAGGTTCTCACTGGTGTGCAGTTTGAAGTGTGAAATTAAAGCTGAAAGTGTAAGAATGTAATATTTACTGATAATAGCCTTGCAATGCATTCTGAGTTATTAGTCTGAACACATGTTCAGTGCTGACAAGCAAAAGATCAGTTTTACATACAAGATCAAATCACACCTTGAATAATCAAACTAAAGTGTGTTTCATTTTAACCAAAAATGCTGCCTGTGGTTACAAAATCAAGGTTGTTGGAGGTAAATTCTGTAGGAACATTCAGAAAGAAATTGGATATATAATTCAGAAAAAGAATAGATCAAGGTTGAGGAGGAAAAAGTCTTGGAGACTGTGGGCTAATTAGTAACTCTTTCAGCAGGTACCAAAGCAATGGGCTTTCTGTGCTCTATGTTAGGCGAAAGTGACCTATGAGAGGGTCAGAAGGGAAGCCTACCTGTTGAGATAACATAAGTTGAAATCACTAGTATTACATTTCCCATGTGAACATACAGATATGTTTATGATCAATGTTCAATTGATCAATCAAGTTGCAGAACAACTGACTGTTACTTCATGTGATTCACCATCACTGCACAACTCTTCTCCTTAAAATCAAGTTCAGGCTTCGCATCATTGTGAAGGAATTACAAAAGAACATGTCTTACAGATCCTCACTTCAAGCAACAGCATGTTGCTCAGCAATAATGTGTGGCTTAGATCCATCAGTAAAGAAAGATAAAGGCTGAGTACATGGATAAATATTCCAAATTAAATCATATTTGTGTACTGGCAGTGAAATAGATAAAAGCTGAGGATACTATTCAAAAAACTATGATCTGATCAGTTTTCTTCACTGGATATTGGCTTTTAATATAGTACATAGTAAAATTTTAATAATATCTGAATGCTTCTTGAATGACAGTTTACTAAATGATGCATGCAGTTAACAAAAATACAGCATATTATGTATCCAAGCAATTGCAAGATCTGATGTATCTATCATTTGTTCCAGCAGGTAGACTTATTTTGGTCTCAGAGGAGATGGAAGAAGTTGCTGCAGCTTAGAAATTGCTTTGCTCAGGTTTTGCACGTGCTGTTACTTTATTTGCCAATTTTTGAGGAGTTAACTCATTTAGACGAAGCAAGCTGAGATGTATGCGAGAATTAGTAATGCTGACTTGAAAACATTTGAGGTTTGCAAAGACATGCAAGCGGAAATTCATCTGTGACACTAGCACAAAATTAGGGTCATTGAATTTGCCCTAAATCCCCTTCCCTTCCTGTACCATGTACTTGCTGATACTCAGTTCCAGTTCAGTCAATAGAACAGGCTACATAGAAGTTTAATAGGCAAATGTTGAATTTATGGATATAGTAGTAGGGGCCTTCATTGGTGTAGCTCTAGGGGCAGAAGCTTTCATCTCAGTTTTAGTCATGAATTCATTAATCATTCCAACACATTCATAGACAGTAATTGTACTGCCAGCAAGTCTCCTTCAAACTTGAGTCCAGGGCAAAATACAATTGTTAGTTCCAAGATTTATCAGGTTTTCTGTATTCACAACCAGGCGAGGGATTGAGGTGTCACTTGTACATCAGGTGACCATACCAGCCCTATCCAGTCTGGCTACCACTGAAGGTGGTCCACATAACCCAGGGGAGATTGAAGCCTGATTGCTGACATGTTGGGTGGGAGACAACACGTTTAGTTGTTAGGCTGTTCTTCCAGGCTTCATCAGTGATATGGTGAAGTTTGCTTCTTGTCTGGAGGTTTGATTTTATAGAGGCACGTGAAGAGTTGGGTTTAGGGGGCACTTGAAGATCTTGTGGATAGATGGTGCTGCTGATCAGAGTTAGTCCACTGCATGCTGCTGCATCCTGTTGAGTGGAGGGAAGCGTGACATGAAACAGAACGGGTATCGACTCAGCTGGAATAATCTTGGAGGTCCAGGGATTAACCTCATTACTGAATCAAGTTGTGTGTCAGTGAGTTTGGCATGATGACCTTAGGCTCACACCAGAGCACAGTCTTTTCAGTTACTGAAAATACCGGAGTTATGTCAAACGTGTAAAGAATGATGGTGTTTGCATACCAGCTTGTAGATGATGTTTATTTGTGTCTTGGTCTTTTTTTTGGGTAGTCTTTTGGAGGGGGTGATGACAAGTTAAGAGATAGTCAAGGCTTGCCTCAAGATAGGTCAGAGTTTCATATTCATAGAATCCCTACAGTGTGGAAACAGGCCTTTCGGCCCAACAAGTCCACACCGACCCTCAGAGCATCCAACCCAGACCCAAGCCCCTATAACACACCTAATCTACACATCCCTGAACACTACGGGCAATTTTTAGCATGGTCAATCCACCTCGCCTGCACACCTTTTGGACTGTGGGAGGAAACCGGAGCACCCAGAGGAAACCCACGCAAACATGGGGAGAATGTGCAAACTCCACACAGATAGTTGCCCGAGGGTGGAATTGAACCTGGGCCCTTGGTGCTGTGAGGCAGCAGTGCTAACTACTGAGCCATTGTACAGCCCCAGCAATCAGCCTACACTTTATAGCCACAGAATTTAACATTTGGAGCTTCAAACACCTTACAATGTTCAAGTTGGAAGTTAATCAATGGACTTAGCTGTGTTTGGTTGCAGAACTTGTAGAAATAGTCAGCCATTTTTGATGGATCAAGAGTTCATCAAGACTTCCATAACCTGACAAAAATTTTGCCTGAGTTTTCAAGGTAATATTGTCAGTGTAAATAAATTTCCTTGACACAGTGACAGGTATGTTGCTTATGTAGATGTTAAAAGGAGTGGATGATGTGACTGGGGTGGACCGTGGGAAGCTTTTTGAAGCCCACTCTGTCAAAAAGAATTGATCAAACAGATTCCTGAACTGTCAAATTTTTAATTAATGTCATCAAAAGAGTTGCTGGATGTGTTGCGGAGGGTGATGAATCTTTAGATAGTTCTACCTCAGAGGACAGTGGAGGCACAATCATTGAGCACATTCAGCCCAGAGACTTACAAATGTGTAATCAATTTTATTTATTTTACAATAATTTAATAATTACCAAAAATATATATTCTTAAAGTGTCAAGACAGGATGATAGCAAAATGATTAATGATATTAAAAAATGTGTGAATTAATTAACCTCTGCTCCACAATAAGGATTGTTTCTTTTTTCAGAATGACCTGTTGCATTATGTAGTCACCATCTGATTGTCAAACTCTTTCAGGTATCCTGCTAGTCATCCAACCCATTGCTTGAGCACAAACATTTGATAAGTCTCCTGACTACTGACCTTGGGACCCTGGCAGTGAAATTTGCTTTGAAACTGATGGAACCATGTGCCAGCTGAATAGAATTAAATTAGAAGTTAAAATGTCTCATAAAATGAGCCTCACAATGTTTAGCTAACCCTGATGGTGGGAGTGAGGCATGTTCAGGTCAAGCACACATTTTACTAATTTTATCTTCTATTGACTTCAATGAAGAGTAAAATTGGGTAGGATATAAAACAGACAACAAAACAGTTTTGGCTGATGGTGAATCCACACTTCCCCTTAATCTCTCCCTCATTTTCTAATGACTTAACATGATAACTCACTGCCCTGCAGCAAGATGTCCGATTTTGCTCCTAATTGCAGCTTGGAGCTCAAGTTGTGATTGATACTTAGATGGAGTTAGCAATCTCCATAATATTGTCCTGATTGAGTTGTAGCTGGTCCAAGAGAGGAGATTCAAGTTCCTTCTGTTGATTTTGACAAAAAGATGTTTCCATCATTTAGTTAGCTCTCAAAATGTGAGCCCCATTTTAATATGAGGCCCAATCCAAACTAAACAACTTTCTTACCCTTGCAATGGAAAGGATAAGAAGTGAGGATAACATTCAATAACATAATCATTTGATCGGTTTTCTTTTTCTGGGATTGATTTATCAATGTGCCAGTCACATTTCAAAATCTTAACATTGCCAGAATGCCGCTTGTAGGCAATTATGGCTCACTGGCATCTGTGTTAATCACATGTCTTCTTTGTCTAAGTTATTCAAACTTTAATGTTTCTGTCAGATATCCTCAATGACGTGCTTCTATTATGCATATTGGACTGAATGCATGGAAAAGCACTTGGAATTTTTTCAAGTATAACAATGGCATGGGCCTTCACTTTTTTATTGTGTCCCGTTATTTATTGAGAAAGATTATAGCAGAACCTTTTGGCTGGGTTTTCAATTTGGCTGCTGAGGACATGTGGAGATTTTGCAATTTCCATTTGAATCAAACTAGGTAGGTCATAAATCTTTCAAACACACAGCAATGCTTTTTGACAAGGGGAGTTATTTCAATCATCTGCGTATTAGCTTCCTTATTGAACTATACATTGGCCATTGCTTAATATGACTCAACTTACCTGCTAGTGTGGCCATATTATTTCACTGCTGCCACTGCCCTGACATACCATTGCTTACAATAAGATTTTGCATTTGCAATGTGCTCTTGCTTCATGCTGATGGAAACACTAGATGAGTAACTGCTGCTTCTTCCATTTGATATGCATGGGTGGAACTTACCTCTGCCCTCCACCGTAATGTATTTCGCTTTCTTTGAGATTTTACTGTGCCTTCTATGAATTATTATGTACACTATCCAACATTCATCATCCAAAAATTTCATTACCAACAAAATGTATTCACATTGTGTTAGATAACTGGATAAATAATAGAGAATCAAAGCATAGAAACATAAACTGGTTACAGAACAGAATAAGATTATTCAGCCTGTCTGGTCCTTGCTGACACTCTGCAAAAACACCTCAACTAGGTGCCTGCCTTGCCTTTTCCACATAGCCCTGCAAATCTCTTCTCTTCAGATATTTATCTGATGATCTTTCGAAAGACACAATTAAATCTGCCTCCACCACACTATCAGGCAGTGCATTCCAGAACCTAGCAACTCACTGATAAAAGAAGATTTTCGTAAGTATCTTTTCTGATGCACTTTTCTAATGGCAAGAGGGAAAGCAGATATAGATCACATAAAGGCACAGATGCACCAAAGCAATGAACACATTGTGCAAACACAAGATGAATGAGGTTGAGAGTGCTCAATATTTGTTACTACATACACGTTATCATGTCATGCTTTTTCCAAAAATGCAATCTTATAAATTTAAAATGATAATCTTAGAACAGCTCATGGAGAGTATTTGCTCTTGTTTCTTTTCTTGCTAAGGCTATATCTTATTACCAACTGGCCTCATCGTCTGCATATTCAATTTATCCTGCTTTAAATATCAGTTTTATTTTGTTTAGCCAGTATTTGCAAAGGAATTCTGGCCTGACTTATTTGTGACAGATAAAATCATAGACTGCCAGGGTAGAAATTAATGAAGCCCATAATGCTGCTCGTTAGGTTTATACTTATGTGCAAACACTGCTCATGATCTTATTGACTATATTCATCTTTCCCAGAAAATAGGCTTATCTTTCATTTTAATAATCTGAAATACGCTGCCAAAATAGCTGGAAGCTGTCCTCTAAGCTATTTCATTGAATTTTCTACCATACACCAACTGTTTTGTTCAGAAAATGTTAATAAATTGTAGTAGCTTCCTGAACATAGGACTATTTTGTGAGAAAGCATGCCTTGTTGCAAATATATCAAGCAAATTGTGATTTGCATTTTGTTCTGTGTATATTTCTCCAACTGCAGACACTTTGTAGTACAGATGTGTATTTACAAGGCCCTGCATTTAATTAGAATTGGAAACAAACTTTCAGCAGATCTGTATGTGGCTTTCAAAGAACCAAAGATAGCACATTGAAATACAATCAAATGTGTGCCGTGACTTCTGTCTGGACTGAGGGACTGCTGGCATTCCTTAATACCTGTTCTCTAGCACTTTGCCAAGATTAGCACAAGAGTGTGAGATAAATGCAATTGGAGTTAAAGCTTGATAAAGTGCTTAAGGAAATAATGTTCTTTGGGGAGATGAAGAATGTGTCCAGCACCAGACACTGCTATAGTTATAAGCCAGAAAAGGGCTGTAAACAGCTAAGCTTTAAGTTTACAGCTGACTTTAATCACAAGCATCCTTAAGGTCTGAAATGAAAGCTGCTGATCAACAGTTGGATTATGCTGCGAAGATAAAGGTTCAACTACACCAACAAACATCAGTAGCAGGATATCAAAAAACACCTCTTGCAAATGGATTTTCTTTTAAAAAGCAGGTATTTACCTTTAATGGTTCTGAAGTAACAACAGTGACCCAGTTGAAAGTAGAGACACTTCTCAGTGCAGCTGGGCAATAGCTCCTGCTGTTTCTAAAGAGATTGGAAGAGTGAGGAGGCTTTGCTCTGTGCTCCTGTTTAAATACCACAGGTCTTCAGCTGCATTTGTGCTGTAGTCCCTTGCACTCCCAAAATAGAGACCCTACCACAAGTCAAAGATATCCAGCTCAAACATTTAAGGGTACCAAGGGAGAGAAGGGCTGCTTGCAAGTGGAAAGCTGTGACTAGCTATTGGTTGAACATATACACACAAGATTGTAGGAGTATTATTGAAGCCAGCAGCAACTCAAAAAAGGTGTTTAATTTACAATAGAGGAATAAAAATGAGGCGGAGACTCATGGTCAGAAAGTGCTTAAAATAACAGAGAAGCATTTTCCCCTGTTTGTGTTCTCTCAGAAGAAAAAGTAAAAGAGACATTGGATTTCTGTGTCATAATTAAGCTCATCACCTCTTACCAAGTGGGATTAAAAATTTACATTGCATAGAGCATAGAAGATTTTGTTTGCTATATTTCATTAAAACAACAGTTAAACAACACTGAGCTACTCTTCTTTGTGTAATCATAAAATGACTAAAGCTAAAATTATATTCCATCATTATTAACAATTGTAAATGGTTGGTACACTATAAAAACTGATTATTAACATAAAAGATACAGGTTTAACTATATCACTCTTTCTCTGTATATTTACTGCTGAAACCAATTAATTGTTGGAATATCACAAAGACTGACATTATTGCTACACTTGAGCGTCATAAATTATGTAATGCCTTTTAACTGTCCTTATCAGAAGATGTGATGCCAATATACAGTGATCAGAGAAAAATTGGTAAATTCCTCAAACTCTTTCCTTTCTTCCACGCCTCTGTTCTCCTCACTGCAATCCTTAAAACTAGGCTGCAGCTCCATGACCATAAATTCTTAGTGCTTGGCTAAAGATATAGGCCCTAAAATCACAGTGTGGGTTACTAGCATATAAATCTGAGTGCCTGAAATTCCTCTCCCCCGCTATTTTAACAGAGATGCTAAACGAGTTAAAATTAATGGATTACTTACATCCCAGACTGGTGGTGAAAGGAATTTCATACAAATGTGGTTAGAACTTAGATGACACAATCCCATGGCAACATTGTAAAGGTCATGGTATTATTTATTAATCTAATTAGCAGAATGAGATCATACCATTGCTTTCTTACCTTTTTGAAAAGAAACAGATTCTCATGTCATTTATGCTTCGTTGTGACCTTGCAGCAGTACCCCTCAGTTATATTTTACAGAGTGATGACTTTTTTGCCTTATATTTGTAATTATCATTAAAATACATAATGAGCCAGTTGCTGCAGGGCTGTATTAATCAAACCAGATGACAATTCAATTTTTTTCACAATGCAATTCTGTACCAGTTGTTATCAATGGGATGTTTAGTTTCAATAGAGACAATTGATTAAAGCTTAAAAGTAACTACAGAACCAGGATTAGTCATCCTTTTGAAAAAAAACTCAAAACATAATTAAACTGTAAATCTGGAAATTATCCAATGTCGTTATGAATGCTTTTGTATCAAATTGATCTGTCAATGTTTTAAATGCAGGGTTAATAACTAATTTATTTTAACAAACAAATGTCTGCTACAATAGCAAACAATGGTGTATGAATGCACAATATTTTTCACCGTAATATTATAGAGTTTATTTTCAGGTAACAGATAATCTAATTACCTCTCCATACTACTGTAGAAGTTTATCCTTTCGAGATGACCATTCAGCCCCTTATATTCAATTCAACTCTTTGTGAAAGCAATGCAAAACAAACTTCACTGCCCTACTGTGCCTTTATAAATCTTGACTTGCCTGGCTTCCTTTAACATGTGTCGTAATTTCTACTTTAATAACTATCTGTGGCAACACAATCCATTAGTCCATTTTCAAATATCAGTTGCCATAAAGGGATTTCTCCTATGTTTTTCCTTAATCTCAGCACAAATTATAAAATAAAGACTATTAAATTCAACTCTGGGCTTTTCTTTATGAATGAAATCAGTTCTAGTTTGTCAAAGCTTTCAATCTAAGGATATTTTTACCTCTGGTAAGTCAGGTCCACACACACTCTATAATTTTAATGTCACTTCTATAATGGACAGCACAAAACTGCAAACAGGACTCTAGCTATCAGCTGATGATTTTCTTACATTCTTATTGCATTATTCTTGTGCATTCTTATTTATGAAACAATAAGGTTATAAAGTTGATGGTTTTATTATCCTGCAGTTAAGTCAATGACTGATGTATTAGTCTCCTAGGCTTTTATGCTTCATCGCTTTCAACATCTCTACATTAAATATAAGCTGTGCATTTTGATTTTACTTAAAGTGCTAGACCTCACATGTTTAATGTATTGGTTTGCATCTATTGCATGACTGCATCTTCTGCTCACCTATCAGTGTTTACATGAAATTTATGAAATCTTCTTATACTGATTCTTGGACTTCATTTAAAATGTTACCATTGTTTCATCAGCATATTTGGACACAGGGCATGCTATACATAAGAATGAATTAGATTCAGTTTTGAAAAGAAATATGGATCTAACATTAAGACTTTGAGTACATCATTTCTCAAACAAGGCAATATGCAACTGTCTTTCTCATAAGGAAAACTGTCTTCTTGAGAACTGAACCACATTTTGCTCAGCAGAAGAGGAAGAGAGAAAAAGAGATAAGCCACAAATTAAAGACAAGCAATTTACATCATTGTTTTTCATGTTTGTAAACAAAAAATGATTTGTTAAAGATAGCACTGTAAAGGTGGTGTTCATTTCAATCTGCATCTTTGGTGAACATTGTTGTCCTTGAAGATAACTGAGGTTTGCAAACAAGCCTTGTCCAATCTTTCCAGCAAATAATGTTAAGAATCATAGTTTACAACTTCAGTATTTTGAATTGTGTAATGAACAAAACATAATAATTTCTGTCTCTCAGATGACTTAATGGGAGAAATTTTACCTTGACCCATTGGAAGCGTCAATGGAATGGTATCCCAGCTTGAAACCCCAGACGAAAAGAGAAATAGAGAGATTGAATGATAAAAAATGATTCTGATATGGTCCCTCCAAAATGTTGTGCTGCGTGTTAAATTCAAGATTAAAGATACACTGCATATTTGCAGCACTGCATTGGAAACGTGGAATGGTTACAAGTTGACCTGCATTCTGCAATGGCTTTTAAAAATATTACACCTTCTTTGTAGGATATAATTGCAGTTACAGCTTAGTGCGGACTTTTCACACCACATGGAGTCTTGCAGAAAGTAATTTCTTCTTGCATGAAAAACCAAAATTGTCCATAACTTAGCACCAATTGGCACCATGTTTCATTCAGAAAGACTGTCATCCAGTTCACGAGGAAATTGAAATGCTGTGTTAGTAGCTGAAATATTCTGCCGGAGGTGGGTTTAATTTGGATTGAACAGAACATACAGAAAATGTGTCCCTGCATCATACCACTGATGCATCTCATTTGAAGTGTATGAAGCACAGATGCCAAAAGTGCAAAGTAATTCAGAAACTAGGGGATGGCTATCCCTCGCCCTGGTGAATATGAGACAGGTCACCCAAACATATATAGGAAGTTTGAAAGTTGAACTCAACCAATATGCTGTCTAAAACAAAGTCAGTCTCATAGCAGTTAGCTTAGCCCGCCATATTACATTGTTTTAAAGGCCGCCCTGTAGACATTCTCTGTTCGATTTACCAAGAAGACTAATATCAACAAGGATAGGTGACAACACCTCCTCCACAAGAATCCTCAACAATACTGCCCTGAAGACTGCGTACTCAGCCCCTCACTATATTCCTTATACATTCACAAATCTGTGGCCAAATTCAGCTGTAGCTCCATTTACCAATTTGCTGATGACATCACTGTAGTGGGTCAGACCTCAAACAACTACAAGACAGAGTATAGGAAATACATAAACAGCTTAGTGGTATGGTGTAAAGACAACAATATCTCCGTTAATCTCAGCAAAATGAAGGAGCTGGTCATCGACTTCAGGAAATGGAGTGGACGACATGCATGTATTTGTATCAATGGTGCTGAGTTGAAGATGGTTGAGAGCTTCAAGTTCCTAGGAGTAAATATCAGCAACAACCTGGTCTGGTCCATCTATATTGACACTAGAGTTGAGAAAGCTCACCAATGCCTCTACTTCCTCAGAAGGCATGGAAATTTGGCATGTCAACAATGACTCTTACCAATTTTTATAAATGCGCCATAGAAAGCATCCTATCCGGATACATCTCATCTTGGTATGGCAACTGCTTTTCCCAAGATCACAAGAAATTACAGAGAGTTGTGAATGTGGCCCAGTCTATTACGCAAACCAACCTTCTTTTCATTGACTCCATCTATAATTTCCACTGCCTCGGGAAAGCAGCCAACATAATCGAAGACCCCTTCCACCCCGGTTATAATCTCTTCCACCATCTTCCATCGGGCAGAAGATACAACAGTTTGAAAACACGTACAAACAGTTTTAAGAACAACTTCTCTGCTGTTATCACACTTATGAATGGACCTCTCATCTATTAGAGTTGATCTTTCTCTGCATTTTCTTTGTAGCTGTAACACTATATTCTGCATTCTGTTCTGTTACCCTGGTGTACTTATGTAAGGTATGATTTGTCTACTTAGCATGCAAAACAATACCTTTCACAGTATCTTGGTACAAGTGAAAATAATAAATCAAATCAAATCAAATAACCATAACTATGTCCAAACCTACGCCTAAATGAGCTGCTATTATTGCAAATCAACAACATCAAATTGTTATTGTGGATAATCAACTCTAATAAGTCAATATGGTTTTGAATCATGTGGGATGGAGATTTAAATTTAGTGGAAAAATAACTATAAATTAAAGTAGATAGGATGTCTTTTCCCATGTTAAATATACAACTATTATTTTCACTAACAGTCGATATGAGTCTGGTGTAAACTTCTGCAGTGATGGGTCGCAAGCCATTTGTTTTGTCAGAAATTATATGTCGAGG